TGTGATATCGTAATATTTATGAAAAATTGCGCAATACTACAAAAAGTTGAATTCTTTTTTGATGAACGAAAAAAAAAAAATTGCGAATAAAACAAAAATAAAACAAAAAGCAAGAATATAATAAAACAAGATTCAATTTAATTTTCCATTTGTATTTCAATGTAATATTTTTGCGAAAATGTAATTTGAAACGGAAATGATTATTGGATCACAGTGTTGATCGTTGCTAATCACGAGTACCATAATGACGATGTTTTTGTCATTCATTGCATGTTACAAAGAGATCGTATATGCTCAACCTTCGTGAAACTAGAAATTTATAGAGTCGTTCTATGAAATTGCAAATACATTAGCTATTTTGATTTTCGATCATTTCTAAATAATTATTCCATTTTTTAAAATTCTTCTTTTTGTAAAAAAATTTCTATTTCAATAGAAAGTTTAGTTTTTTTCTTAAAAAAGAACCGTCGATATAAGTTTTTTGAAATTATAAAATATCATGAGATATTTATACACGAAGATTCCAGATTTATTCAAATAGTTTCATCGAAGTTTTATTTTCTTTATGAATTTTTCTTTGTTGAAATTTATTCCTATAAATGTTTTTATGAATTAAAATGTTTTTTTATAGAATTTTTTCATTTTCATCCTAAAGATTTTATTTTTTCTTTTTCTTATAATCAAGTATATTAAAGTTCTATTTTTTATATTTTCTCTTCTATCTGATCTATCGTTTCAAGATCTTATTTTTAGTATGTTTATATTTTTTAATCTTTTTTACTATGACTTTTTTATACTTTTTATACTTTTTACCTATTATATTTTATATTCTACTTTTTTTTTTAATTCTATATTAATGAATTATTTTTTGTAACGAAAAAAAAATTACTACGCTATTAATAACATTTTTTTCACTCTGATTAAAAAAGAATATAAAAAAAAAAAAGAAATTAAAAAAGAATTAATAATATTTATAAATACATTGCTTTTATTATTGGTAAGATTAATAAAATTATAAAAAATACTTATAGATATAGTAATGCATAATTAATATTTAAACGACATGATATTATAGAGAGTTGAAAATACATTTATCGAATATTTATTACTCTCTAATCTTCATTTCGGAAGTCAATTTCTGATCAAAAGTATTCCAAATATAGCATGTATTTTGTTCATTTATTTTATTATCCAACTTGTAGATAAAATATTTTGTAGTGGAAGAATCTTGCAACACTCTTAAAACATTTTATCTTGATAAAAGTATCTTGATAAAGAATAATTAATTCTTAAAGTCAATTATAATTGAAATCAAAAGTGATAATTATTATTAACAGATGTAAAGTGAAAATATTTTTATAATTTCTCTCTTGTGAAATATTAATCTTCCAATTTTTCATTCTGTTCTAAGTATTAATCGATGCAATAAATATGTTTAATTAATTTTAATGAACCACTGATTTTCTATGCAAACAGAGCCATTAATTAAAAGATGCGTTTTTTTTCACTAATTGCATGAAACGTTTCTCTTTTCAATCATCAAAAAGATTATTTGAAATATTGTATATAAATTTTAAATTTATATTTCTTATAAATATATATATTTTATAAATTTTTTATATTATATATCTTATAAATTTGCCTATTACCATTGAATGTTTTTATTTTTTTTTAACAAAATTGATTCCATTTATTCTATGAAAAATGATTTAAAATTTCTTGTAATTGTATCTATCAGATTTTTATTTATCATTCTTTCATTGTTCTTTCTTATAAATCATATATTCTGCAATAAAGCGAGCAGAATAAAATAATATATTTTTTTTACTTTTATATATTTTTGTATAATGAAATACTTACTATTATATATTAACTTCTTAAATTTATAACTTGATCAACTTATTTTTGTTATAACTTTTAATTATAATTTATAATTACATTAAAATATCATTAAATAATAATCATATATATCTTAAACGTTTTTGAACGATTGAAAATAATAGTACATTACAAAAACATAATGAAAATCAAAGTAGATAAGATTCAACGATTGAAAACTATTCAGATATTCCAATTCTTTTTTTTTTTTTTTTTTTTATTAAATCAGAATTTCAAATAATCGACTTGATTACTGGCCGAAATTATACACGAATCACAGAGAATTGATCATAACACACCGATGTGTGTTCCACGCATCGAATTAGAAGAGCAGACAAAAAGAAAAGAGATAACTCTTTCTCTTCCGTACAACAATAAAATATAATACTCAGTGACAAACACATATCCGCCGCATTGTTCTCCTCAGATATGTGATCAAGCGTGCTCAATTTGCTCTTGTGTGAACGTATACTCGTACAAATATATAGTTGTGAACGATGATGTTTATTCGTATGGACGGTGTACTCGCATGGGTGTTACCTGCAAACGTTGTCAGGTAAGGCGGGCAGAGGATGATAAGAGGTCCGCCAGTACGAAGCGTTTTGCGGCGAAGTTCGCTTCGTAACGCATTTCTTCTCTTTCCATCGTACTCCCTTCGTATTTCTCTTTTTGTCCGTGACGGTGATCAATCGCGAGTTTCGTAATTTCATTATTACGACGTAATAGTTCAACGATTTATAGTGTAAAGTTTATCAGTTACGTCATTCTTTGATCGAAGAGAAGATATCAGGGATCGATCGAATTGCAAATTGTAAATTATAAATTTTTTCCACCTTTAAAGTTTCGCGAAAAACTTCCGGCAAACCGAACGTGGATCGAGGAATTGGGAGAGATTGATATATATATATATATATTGTAGCGTTGTTAAAGCAATAGTGATCGCAAGATGAAATTAGTTTGATAGATGAGAGTAAGACTGTCGATGTTTATGTATTTTTGAAAAATTTAAATGTGTGCAAATATGTGTGGAATACAAAGATATAAAATAAAAAAATGCAAAGTATATTATTATAAAAAATATTTAATAATGAATACTCATGATATGAAAATGTATATAAAAGTAAAAGAAAAGATTGTTTAAAATATTCGTTATAATTTTTAATCACCAAAGAGGATTTTATTTTTTTAGTTAAAATAATATAAAATTTACATAAGCATCTTCAGTTTAACGATAAAAAAAAACTGCAATTGATTATTTTTAAATGATGGAGTGAAAACAACAAAAAAGAAAAAAAAATAACACAAAGTTTAAAATAGATTAATCAAATTAATCTTATATCACTTTGAATTATAAAATTCAATACTTGATTGTAACATTTTAAATTTGTCAAGTTAATATCATTTTTCCTGATATTACAGTTGTCAACAACATGTACTTGCATTTGATTGCTTTGTTCGAATTCTCTTATCTAAACGATTGCCTTGAACAACTTCGACTAATATACGTATATACTTAAATCGCTACGATTATTGTGACCGTTTTATCGTGCTCTGTCCCAATTTTTTTTCATTTTTCCCTTTTTCCTTATTTTTTTTTTTTCTTTCTCCTTTCTTGTAGTCCTTTGGTTTTTCTTAACTAGGTGAGCTTTTGTTTGCCGTCACCTTCCTCGTGCTTTTGTTCTCCCGACCTCTTTCGCTCAAGAACTCGCTGTTGTATTGTCGAGATCGATCGATCGATGTCGCGATACAAGAGCGTGCAGAGGAAATTTGCTAGATTTTACAAGCTTGATTCATTTCACTTTCTTTCTCGAATTCGATGATTTCTCGACAAGTGGAAAATATTTTTAAATTAAATTTTTTCAAAAATGTTTAATTACTCGTTGAATTATAGAAGAGTTTTTAAAAGAATATTCAGGAAAATTTAATAAAGATATTTTATAATTAGAAAATTGAAGGCAAATATAAATCTTTTAGATATTAAACATTCATTGCTTCTAAATTAATTATCTCACTTTTAAATTTTTTCTTCACTTTTAAATTTTTTCATTTTAGTATAAGATTTTTAGTTTAATTTTATTTAAAATAAGTTTAAAATAAGTATACTTGAAAATTTTAAATTATCATTGGAAAAGTAGCTTCTACATATTTAAGTGTCTGTACATATTGGTGTACAGATAGATACTGACGAAATATAGTGGAAGGATAAATAAAGAATGGGGACACTTCTCTAGTGACCTGAAATGATTCTTTTATTTCGCTCAGACTACAAAATCTTAAAATTTATAGAATCCTCTCGATTCTAACAAATACATGCAAATAATTAATGTAAATAAAATTACTATATGTATTATTTAATTAATATCATTAGATCATAGGTGAACCAAACAATAACAATTTAAGATAGATTTGTGTTACATTATTTGAAATGGATCATTGATATTACATTTTCGATATTAATTAATTAAACCTTCAAAAAAAAAAATGTTCCTTTAATCTCTAAATCATACGAGTATATTCACTTACAGTGAATAATTATACAACGATGCTTGACCATGATCGAACATCATAACACGAAGATCAACCCAAACTATTATGATATCACGTATAACCCAATGATGATAGATCAATAATTACCAAAAATTGAAAAATTTCCTACTTTTAAAATTCATTATGTAAACTCCAAGTCAAGATACAATATTTCACCGATAAAAAAAGAAAAAAGAAAAGAATATGCCTTTTGACGTGCAAAATCAATTGATTTTCAGAGGAAGTAGTCACGCGATATACCGGTATAATAGATATTTTATTCACGGGGGAGCGATAGAATCGGAAAGATGTGATCGAGGGACCGTGAATCGTAGATCGTCGCGTTCACGCGGGCGGAACAGTGGAAACGCGGCCGAATTTCGAGCACGGAAATGAACCTGTGGTGCGAATGATTATCGACGCGAGTGCATTGTGCAGGGGTTGATAAAGAGGGAGAGGGAGTGAGAGTGAGACGGAGAGAAAGAAAAGGGGAAAAAAAAGAGAAAAGAAAAGAAAAGAAAGAGGAAAAGAAGGGAGAGTTCCTGTACGCGATAGGCACGCCTGTGAAACGAAACGAAGATAGGCGGCTCGGTGTTGCTTGAGATGGACTCGGTGGCGGTGACAGTGCCGCTTCGTCAACCGACGAAGAAGATGAAGAAACGGAAGGAGCTCGACGCCCTGGCGCCTCCGCACACTGTCTCACGCCGAAGTTCCGGGAAACGTAGCTCTCAAGTACGTATCGATTGACCGTGACCACGAAGAAGTTTTTGTTTTCTTTTTTTTTTTTTTTCCTTTTTTTTTTTTTTTTTTTTTTTTTTTTAAATAATACACATAATATAAATTCTGTAGGAAATTTCTATCGCTCTAATGTTATGTAATTGATACTTCTTTGCGAACGGTATTCTTTGAAACGAGAAATTTTACGCACGTGTCATTGTGACAATGTGTATTTCTTAGGGATTTATCATAAATAGATAAATGGTTGACAAGAATTGATAAAATATCTTGGAGGAATTTAATTAAATTTTTTAAACACAGAAATATATTCATGTATTGTTTCATGTATTATGATGATATTAATGATTCATTTTCTTCACTTGAAACGAAAGTATAAATTAATAAGGTTGTGATATATGAAATGTTGAGTGAGTAGAATTGGATGAAGAAATAGTAAGAGGTTTCAAATACAGAATCAAATTAAAATTAAATTAAATTAATTGAGTTAAAATTTATGGATAGAGGTAATAATGTATCTAATAAATTTAATTGATAATTTGATTGCTTCGTTTTTCTTTCTTGTTAATTCTCTCTCTCTCTCTCTCTCTCTCTCTCTCTCTCTCTCTCTGT